CGGAGGACGGGGGGGCCGACAGGCCCCCCACGTCCGGAGACCCTTGTAAGTGTATATTATTTTATCCAAGAAATTAATCTATACAGGTACTTCATACGATATTGGTCTGCAGTTGAAAAGTGCGGGTGTTTCGTTGTGGGGTACAGGCGTAAAAAGGAAACAACGTGAAAACATACGAAAATGTGCACGCGTGTGTGATCTAATTCACTTCTTTGAATCATTTTGGTTTTTATTTTTTTGGGGAAGATACATGCTACCGGAAGGGAGCTAAACACCCTTCGATTGCGGAGAGGCAAAAGGGCCAACGGCCGCTACGAGAGCACGCGCGCACTACCCGTCTCTGGTATGGTAACAATGCATGGTACTACTGCTGTACATGCCTGGCTCCAGCCGATCACCACCCTGGCTACGCCGTACGCGATACCCTGCGTCTCCTGCAGCTCCACCGAGTCGCCTATCTTGCCCCCGTACCTGCCCACAAATTAAAACAAAAAATGCGATGGCGGTTACAGCAGCCGAAGTGACAGTCCCGTAGCCCCAGGAGGGAGCATCTAATTATCATATTTACAGCCTCAGAGGAAGACTAGGGAGTTTTTTCATTTTTGTGTTCGCTGTCTCCCCTAAAAACGGTGGCCAATCTACCAACCTACATCGGTCTTCGTCCCACGCCCAGCCTCCACACCCATGGCTTTAGAGCAGAGAATGCGGCGCTTACATGCAAAGAGAGAGAGGCATTGCTGTCACCGCTCACCGTCGTTGCTCGTGCTGCTCGTTAGCGTGCGCCCTCACCACCCTGATGAGGGACAAGCTCTGCTCCGCCACGCTCCCGGCCTCCGCGAGCGCGGTCTGCACCTTGGCGGATATCCTGCAGACCACGTGCAAAAAAAAAAAACAACAGAACGGATCACACTCAGCACGCCTCTCTTTCTCGCCAACCACTGCTGTAACGGCGTCAACCACACCCCTTCGACAAGGATACTGTCTCGAACGGGTACGGGTATTTAGCATTTCTGCGATCTATACAGCAGTGTGCCCCACACTACGCCGGCATGTGTCCGGCGAAGCGACCGGCGCCATTCAGAGGGACCGGCGCACTTCGAAGTGCATTATTACGCGGTAAAATTCAGTCGGTGCCCAGCCATCCCATACAGAGCCAGCGGCGACATCCAACCGGCGCTGTTAGGGCCCACTACTGTATATTCAAGTTCGAATAACAACATAGGCGTTCGTCACATGCACGAGGAGAAAAGTTCCGTGTGCGGGCCGATCATCGACGCCATCTGCATGTCAACCCTGTCCACCGGCAGTCGTGCTGGCTTGTCCTGCATCTCCCCTGCCCTGTCAAGCCATGGCTGCGGAATAACGCTCCCGAGTCCCTTTCTCTCGCTCTTCGAGAAGCGACCATAGGAAGAGGCTTAGGTAACTTTGCTTGCGGTTAGGTCCCCGGGTCTTTTCTTGCTCGCCTCGAGAAAGACCCAAGGGCTAGCGTTCGAGGGTTAGCTAGGTGTCGCTTTCTCTCATCCCCTGGAGAAACGACTCTAAGGATTTCGATAGTTAGGATTAGCTAACCGGTTTGCGTGAGGGTTAGCTAGGGTGTCTTTTTTTCTCTCACCGCCTGGAGAAACGACTAGATACGGTTAGCGTGAGGGGTAGCTGGGGTGTCGTTTCTCTCACCGCCTCGAGAAGCGACCGTAAGCGGTGGTGATGCCCCCGACCAACACAAGACCGACCAGGGCGACGCAGGCAAGCTGCCTCTCCAGCATGTAGAGGTATCCAAGACCTCCCACGGCCTGGATCACCTGCCTGTTGTCGCCCAGAACAGACGCATGAAAATGATCTTACCATGGTATACATTTAAGGGATAGAAAAAAAAGAAAGGGCATCGTGGAAAAAGGAAGGGTGTATTGTGGCCAAGCAAAGTGCAGGACAGCAACAACATGCAACAACACCAACGACGGAAACGCCAACAACAACAGCGTTGCCAGCAGCTACTCAACACAAACGGCGGGGACCATTCGACCAGACAGGAGGGGCACCTGCAGAGAATGTTGACGTGAAAGCTGACCACGTTGCTGATCTTCGCCGTGTCAGAAGCCAAGCGGGACGTCAGCGCGCCGGTCTCATTGGAGTCTTCTCCCGCAGCACAAGGAGGGAGGCATAGGCATGGGCACAGCAGTGATTTTCAACATGGCACAACGGAACCGGACGGTGTTGCAGTGGTAAGGTTAAATTCTAACGGAAGGCAGCGGCACAGGCATCGGAAGGGTGGTTTTGAAGACGGTACCACGGAAGGGGACGGTTATGCAATGGTACGGTAATCTTCTAACGGTAAAGCAGCACAGCGAGAGAAGCACAGGCATCGGGACGGCAGCACCCGGGGTCACAAAGGAACCAAGACTGTCCTCGGCACCACAGCGATTTTGAAGACGGTACGGCCGGGAGTGGGCGGCGTTGCCCGTGGGGTATGTCTTGAATGAAGGTTGCGTCCAACAACCTCGGAGACCTTGGAGTGCTGTGTTCATCGGGCCAATTTCGCCATACTCCAACCACGACGCCACGGCAAGCCCCCTAGGCCTCAGCAAGCACAAACAGCTGTACCAGCATATTGCTTGGTACCAGCGGTGGAAGAGTGAAAAAAGATCGGCCGGAAAAAATCTTTCGTGACAAAACCATTCATTGAAGTCGTTCTCGAGGCACGGTGCGGCACGATTCCTATCGCCACCACGTGAGGAAACGTCTTGCTTCGGCGGCGGAAAAAAAACGTATCGCCCGAAAAACATTCGAGACTGCTGTATACTCAATCACGCCGCATTGGTGACGGCGGGGCATGACCAACTGTTTCTCACCGTGGAAGGAAATGTCTTGCTTCAGCAGCGAAGACAGGAGGTCGAATCTAGAAGCAAAAAATGAAACGCGGAAGAAATTAGCAAAGGAGAGGGTGGCAGGAGAAGCGGGTTAGCCGCCCGTTACCGTATACACGCAAGAGCACATGGGTGACCCCGGCCAAAATAGAATACTCTGGAAGATATCAGCTGGTTCCATCTCCATCAACTTAGGACGCACGCCGCCAAGAAAAAAAAATAATCTAGAAATATTTCTTTCTGAGTTTTTTCCTCGAGCGATGAGAGGTCGGTCGGCCGCGCCATCCGGGTTGAGGTTTCAGTTCCTGTTCCATGTTCCACACCGAGCATGTGAAACGAAACGGTTGCCAACACCCAACATGAGCAGGTAGCGGTGGAACACCCACAACCGTCTGCCTGCGGTCGCCAAATCTGGCAGACAACGTGCACCTTGAAATCGGAAGACAGGCACAACATAGGCCTCGATAGACACATGTGCTTGTATTCATCTGCTCTACACCGTTTCTGACTTCGCGAATAGCCTAGCACCTCTCATGACGCCTCACGGGGTCCCGATCATGGCCTTCGGGTGCGTTTTATGATTTCAACCGCATTGAGACTTTCGTGTTGTCGTTGGTCAGTCGGTTACCGCTGTCCATGCCCAAAACTGAGGACCTTTGACAAGAAAGCGTGTTCATGCGTTCGTGTTATTATCCCGCTAATAGAAGAGTGCCGTCTTGCATTGGTCTGCCGGCTAGCGCGGTCGATGCTAATTCAAACACTCACACAGGCCCGTAGAAGCAACTTATGTTTTCCACCGCACTGAGGCTGACGTCTTTTCCAACGTCAGCAGGTTAGCGCGGTCGATGCTAATAAAAAAGACACACACACACACACACACACACACACACACACACACACACACACCTGACTTTGGCAACGACGTGCGTCCCCGCAAGCCAGAAACACGCTCCCCGAAGCCCCGTGAAAACCGAAGCCAGCAGGCTGTAGGCTACCATGCCTTGCAAACTTCGGGCGAACTCCTGCCGCGCGTATCGTGACGCCACCGCACGTGGCACAATCAGAAAGCAATTCGTTCATTTTACAGCGGTGTATCCCCTTCTACTCGACTAGGTACCAATCAGGAAGTTCCCCGGCAAAACAGTCACCATTCAGAACATGGCGGGCACCTTGTTTGGCGGGCACCTTGTTTGTCTCTCTCTCTTGTTAATAAACGGTCACCATTCATCTCTCTGTCAGGGTAACGTGGAGGGCAGCAGAAGACGGTGCGACGGTGGGATCGACGTCGAAGACTGCCGCCAGCCAAGCCTTTCGGGTTGCGCTGTGGGTACAGGAGCATAGAGCGGGTACACACGTCGCTATCACCCGTGGTTCGGCGGGTCTGCGGGTACCACCAGACACACCTCAAAAGTCATACCTGATATACCTTTCATATCGAGTGTAGCTTAACCCTTTCGACAAAGACAATATCGTTCAACACGTCAAACACGAACCCTCGCAATGGCAAAAGTCTACAGCACACAACGACAACGGAGGTTCCACTTCAAAAGTCGCCTCGCTCGCTCACGGCGCGGTGTTCGCTGATAGCGACACAGCAGTGGACACGTTCTGTCCTTCACACAAATACACCGTCACTGCTTGTAAAGCGCACATCAAGCAACACGACCAACACCTCCACCACCTGCAACAAAGACGACAGAAGTGCTGCGAGTCGGGGGGCTGCCCAAGATTCACTCACCACGCGGTCGTTGGCGAACGCCGCGGCGTTAAGGGCCCTGCTGGAGTAGTGCGGCACCGCAACCTCACACGCGGCCGCGAGCACGAGGGTCACCACGCTGGCTAGCAGCACACCCGTTTGAGAGCGTACCAGTGTACCCATGTACCGCCAGGCATCTCGCGGGGCCTTTGCTTTCTGTGGAGGCACGGTTACGACGGGGAAGGCGAGTGAGGTGCATGGCACGTCGGAAGAATGCGGTGATGAGTTGCTGTTCCCAGCCGTGCCAACAGGCTCCCACGCGTGCAAGCGGTGTGCAGGGAGTGAGCGTCCTAGGGAAGTCGGTGCGCACTATTTGCTCTCTTTCTGTATCATCCCATATACATGCCGTAGGCCGCACAAGATAACACACCCCCTGGGACCGATTTTCAAAGCTCGGTCACACGGTGGCCACCGTGAGCCATACAAGCAGCATGGGCACGCACAAAAGGTAATATCGAGCGTGGCAAAAGCCTTGCTGGGGGCAGGAGGACTCACCATTCAAGGATCCCCCTCAGTAATCAACAAAAGCGAGGGGATACAGCGGATAGACAACATCAGCAGCCAATCTCAGAAGACGCAACATATGGTACAAAAAACTCTTCGACAGTCCCTTGATGAATCCCTCCCACTACCTTTCCCAGCTAGCTTCACACAGCAGCGGCAGTCGCATGCGCTCTAAGCCGTGCAGAGGGTTCGGAGCACGGGCGGTGACCCCATCAGACAGGGCGTTCGTGCTTGGTACTGCTCTATCTTATCACAATAATGTCAACTTCTCGGAGACTGACTCACTTCTCTACTGCTGAGAAACGTCTCTCCCACGTGCCTTCGGAAGCTTCCGAACGATCGCCAAATACACAGCTGTTGCGCAGCAAGGGGACAGCGGCGGATTCACGGTAGACAGCAGCAAGACGTTAGCGGTAGGGTTTGATTGCATCTTCCTGAGAAGCGCCAACAGCCTCTGGTTCCATAGGGGCATATGACAGCAAACCTACTTCAGAAAAAGCAGCAGCGGTAGCAGTAGCGATGCTTGCAACCTCATGGGTAACAGCAACAGCCAGAAGACAGAGCGTTAAGGCGCGCCCAGTAACACGGAAACAACCACGCAGCCACCAACGACGTAAGCCACTGTCCGAACGCGAACAAAGCGCCCAGTAGAAAGAACAAAAACGCCGTCACGATTTTCAAGATCGCTTGGGTCTCTCGAGAGGTGCATCATTGGCATTATCCCCTGAACCCGCCTTCATCCCTGGAGCGATCCACCAACCCGTTGGCCTCATTGGAAACAAAGTGTGAAACGTGCGATAGACCGTCGTTCTTCCTGTACGAAAAACACGCATGTCTAGGGACGTGCTCAGGCTTCTTTTTCCTTCCCGAAAAAAACCCTGCAACATACAAGCCTTGCCAGACTTGCCACGAATTGGGGGAAGCTGCTGCCCGGTTTGTCTGTGAGCTCCTAGAGCAGCTAAAGATTGACCCCAGACAGACCTCGACCTCGTGTCTTCTTTCCTGGGTGAGGGGAGCAGTTTCGAAAGCGTCGTTTCCACCCACGAGCAGCAGAAAACTCTTCTGTAACGGTGACTCATGCCGAACGATTGCTACAACAACGCAACACCACCGAACAAGGACAGGAGCACCGCAGAGAAAGTCGCGTGGTCGCAGCAACAAAATATCTCACCTCAAATCCCATGTCGGTCTCCGAGTTTTCCTTCCTTCCCCGAAACGCACCTCCATCACCGTCGACACCAACATCAACACCACCAACGGACCGCCCCTCCACCCCCGCCGCTGCTGCTACCGGAAGTGCCGGTACCGGAGCGCGAAAGGTCCTGCCCTCGTTGTCCGCGCTACCCCCTTCTATCGTCTTTCCTTTTCTTGGTCGTAAACGCCCATCCCAGAGTCGTGGAAACCCCCACCCACCGCCGCCCTTGCCCTTGTCCACCCGCACCATCGTCAAGCCCTGGCGCTGCTGTGCGCGTCCTCGTGGCAAGCCTGGGGCCCGCGCGAGGCACCACCCCACCCCCGTGGGGAGACGCAGACAAGAAAGTAGGCGTGGGGGATTAATCATGGGTCCAGAGGCTGCCGTTCAGAGCAGGGAAGTTAAGAAATTTGCCATCTTCCCAGCAAACTACACGTCCCCGCTTTCGTTGTCTTTGCTCATCGTGAGGACACCTTGCTGGCTGCAAGAGCCCCCTCGACTTTCGTGCTCAAGCCCAAATCCACATTTGGCGTCAGCGGAAGGATGCATTCGACGTCGGAAAACTCCAGACGAGACGGTTTCCAACGCCGCCGATTTCGGTACGGTCACTGTTTCGCTGCAGTCATCGATCGAACTTCGGAATCGGTTCAGGGAGTATTGCATCAGTCCCACATACGTTAAGAGGCAATCTACGACGATACTTTGCGCCTTGCATATTAATGAACAGCACCGACAATCGATTTTCACTGCAGTCCACAGCAGTAGGCCATGTAAATGGACGAACTTGTCCTGTGCGCACAGCTGGAGCACCTCTTGCAACTATATTATTTGGTGCCAACGAACTATACCAAGCGTTCGAGTCATAAGCCCACGTAAATTGCTGCACCGGGCCTCCGGCCTTGTGGTGACACTGAAAAAGGCATCCTGGTAGAGTTGTGAATCGGAACGATGTACACGATATATATCGTCCGATATATATCGATATCGGTATCGAAAATTCGTGCCGATGTTCCGACCGATGTTTTCTTAGGGGCTCCGTGAATCAAATTTAGGGTATGCGCAGCAGTACGGAGCCCCTGTACGCCACACACACACAGCACAGCAGCGCAGAAACAGCAGACAACAGCACCATGTCCAGAACCAACCGGGAAGTAGACACAGGGAGAGACCGAAGGAGGGTACTGCTGAGGATACGCGACAATACATCAATCTTAATCTTTTTTTTTTTTT